GTGAAATCGTCAAATTCAGTCCAACTTACTATCAGTTGACTATCTTCGAACGAGCCCTTGGCTCTCTCGATTTAGCTGAGGGGCAGTTAGCTCACCTTGGACATTTCATGTCGGTGCAAATGAGAAACGTTTTCGTTAGTTGTAAATGCTCTACAAATTTGCTCTAAGCCAGCGCCAACTAAAGCCCTCCGGATAAAACATGTAGTCCTTTGCTGCAATCGTTGAATTTCATGTTCTGTCCAATCATCATGAATACCGTATTTCAGTGGAAGGTGCGCGCGGGCTGTATCTGAAGAACCATGTTACCCTGGATGCGTATGCGACAGTGGTTCTTCACGGGAAGGGTTCTTTGCGCAGTCGTGCCATCACGGAGCAGGTGAACACAGAAGGAGATTGCCGATGGGATGAACATTGCGAATTGTAGGTGGAGTTGTTTTTGTGGCGCAGTTTGTCGGAAGGGGGGGGGGCATTTTGCACTTCTGCTGCTTCCATCGACGTCGAGCCATCTAGTGCACACCTGTGAAATCTTGTGAACCACGAAATGATACCAGCCAAAGTTTGTGGAGACGACCTGTCAAAATGAAATACCATTTAGCATGGTGGCCAGACAAGCCTGCTCCGGCTTCACGAGAGTTCACAGGTTTCCCAAAGTGAGACTCGTAAGACGAAGCTAGTGAAAGTGCAAAATGCCCCCTCGTCGCCGAACTGCGCCGATTTTGTTATAGAAGATCACAGTTAGATCTCAACTTTCAGCAAAGTCTCGGACAAATCTACACATATCACAGTAACCGTTCAGAACAAGACAAAGTTTGGCGGAGCAGGTGGAGTTTGCTGTGCTTTGAAGCCGAAAGGGCACAGTGGGAGGAAAATAAGCTGTGATTGATGAGTTTCAGATGTGATCGGCAAATGTGAGATCCCCATCGATCAAGCGAAGAAAGTTGGTGGGCACATGTGGTTTCCATTGAAGAAAAAACGAGATGATAGCAAGTATAGGTGAGAGCTTTAGTGCAGCGAAGGTGCATGCAGGATACTTCCATTGATCAGCACTTGGTTCAAATCCATGATTGTAGGGGCGAAGTCAACTTGCAGTTCACATTTTCCTATGAGAAGCCAACGCTGTCCATTTCTAACACATCCTTGAATAAAATTGAAAAAGGTAAGGTGCATGAAATAATCCGAGGTTGGAATTTTAGGGGCTATTTTCTGATTCCGTATAGTTTCTTTCGCTTTGTTTCCCGAAACGTGTTTTTTTTCACTGTTCTGCTGGAAGAGTAATTACATAATATACTACGCTCGAAATCGTGATGGTCCATCCCTTCAGGAGCCACTAATCGACTTCGGTTTTTAACGGCAATGACTCTTCAGTTGCCCTGCAGCCCCCCCCCCCTCCTCCCCCCGTCATCCTGTATGCCGCCATATACCTGTCGATGAGCTATTACGATTGTGCATCTGGAAGTAGAATGGTATCGCCACCCAGACGAAGCATCAACGACAGCTCTTTTGCCTTAGTGGCTATGCGTCGACGTGCAATGACTAGGTGTATAACGAGTGTTTCAGCGCTCTATCAGATAGTATGAATAGCCTGATATAAGAAGAAGAAGTAGAAGCTCAGTATCCAGATAGGACTTTTGATTGGGATTAGTATCTGTGCGTTTTGGTAGCGGCGCTGCTTGTCCGCTGCGCGCACCTTTCACCCTTTTCAAGCCTTTCCATTGGGATCGCTGAGAGTAATAAAATCGTCGGGCGAGGACGCGCTTTTGCCTGTCAAGTTGCGACCTTCCGCAAAAGTTGTCGGTTGCTAATGGTCTGTACATTCAGGGTTATACTAGCTTTTCATGGGAAGACTAAACACTGGCTTAAAAATTGGAGCAGTCAATTAGATTTATCCTCAAGCAGATCTTCATTCCTTAGCTCTTGACACTTAGAAGAACTTCACTACGAGCATAATTCGGGTTGAAAGAAAATTTTTTGTACGAAAAGCGTTATTCGGGCTCATATTCGGAATTACAGCAGATTTTGTCCAACCTTTGATGAAGCTTCCAAAGTTGCAGCATCTTCCGCTGAAAGATGAGTAGGCGAATGCCATGGTGGAGTTGTCCTGAAGGTGCATTTGATAGCTTTGAATCAGTATTCAAAAAGCATAATAACGGGACTAGTTTAGCTGGCTGATCGGGCTCGCTTAGAAACGAGAGGCCGGCCGTATATGCATCTTTTGAAGTTCTTAGTAGGTCCGTGACTCTAATGGCCTCTCTACAATAAAATTGTCTTTTATAAGCAAGAATGTCTTAACTGCACTGCATTCATGTGTTCTGAGTGAGGCTAGCTGGACATTGCTTCACGACTCTATTAAAAGCTGAAAAAAGCACTTATTCCCGGTGTATAATTGGCATCAAACGTGTCAAGGAGAACTGATTCACTTGCAGAATATAGACTGTTGGGTTTATTCTGGTTTTCATATGGGCTCTCTTCTTCTTCATAGGCTACGACATGGGCGGGGGTCGAGGGGGGGGGGGAAATTTTGCACTTTTCATACTTCCCATCGACATGTCAACCTATCTAGGCAGCTTCTCTCGAGTTGAGAGGTTTTACCATGATGGCTTGACAACTTTGCTCCAGCTTCGCAAGAGTTCACAGGTTTCGTTCGAGTGAAACTTGTAAACCGGAACTAACCTCCCTCAATGAAAACCTCCACAGGGACCTCACTCACACGCGAAGGAGGATCGGCCCTCCCAATCATGGAAACTTCTCACAAGGACCCACTTCACACGCGGAAGGAGGATCGGCCCTCCCTCACATGGATAACTTCTCACAAGGACCCACTTCACACGCGGAAGGAGGACGTCTCACAGGGACCCACTTCACACACGGAAGGAGGACGTCTCACAGGGACCCACTTCCCCTCCCTCACATGGAAAACTTCTCACAGGGACCCACTTCACACGCGGAAGGAGGATCGGCCGGCGAAGCCGGCCGATCCGACTGGTCAAATAAATTTCTCCAAACGAAGCGTGCTGCACCATGTGTAGCACGCGGCCATACAGAGGCGAACGGGCGTGCTGCACATGGTGCAGCACGTGGTGCGCAATGGGTTAAAGTATTCATCGAAAGGATTTCTAGAATTGTGCAGTATTCGAGAGAGCTACCATCCGAATCTTATTTAGGAAGTATGCGAATTACCGGTCTGCAAGGTTTCGTTATTATCAGCTCTTTTCAACTGGAGATGTTTCACTCAGGGATGAGTTACGTTATGATCTCGCAGCAAGAAAGCGACAACAGTCGTTTACTCAAATCCTTGGATGCACAGCGCAGCCGAGGAGCCACCCGTAGGTGGAGATCAGCTCAAGGCTCTACTATTAAACACCTGTCAAGCCTTGTCCGGTTACAGGGAACATTTTTACGATGAGCACCATGTGAGCTGTGCCACTTCATGAAGGCAAGCCAATTGATCCCAGGCGAGTGTGTTCCTTGATGAGTAGATAAGAAATAAAGGAAAGATAAAGTCTTGGTCCCGTTGGTCAGTTCTTGCTTGGGAAGTCAAGGCAACGACTCTACTCGCATTCACGGTAGTGCTCATGTGAATGGAGTGCCAATACAATGAGTGCGGAGGCAGCCCGATTACAAGTCTGTGTTCTTATTCTCCCAGGCGAATCTGGCACCAATTTATCGTCCACGGAGGATAGAAGGCCTGATTGGCCTGGGCGAGAGTCGAACCGCGATTTGATAGCCGGACCGCGAGCGTGGTAAATGTCACACTTGCCACTACACCACCTCGACCTCGCAAACGAGGTGCTGGTAGCGGGGTGGGAGTACCTAACGTGAACCGTGCGCGTAAAGGCCACAGGTTCTCTTAACCAACAAATCTGCCTGCAGCCAGAATCAGACTTGCGTGGAAAGAAGGTTCTGCAATATTGAAGAAACTGAAAGGGGGTGCTGTTTGATATCGGCCCAACAGTAATAACCACAGACTACCTTTGCATCGAAAGGGAGCTCTGAAATCATTCAATTAGGCCCAATTTCTACCCACTCCTCGACGACGAGCTCTCCCACTTGGAGATGATGACGCGCTAAAAATGTGGCTTTTACTTCTACTCTACTTCCCAACCAGAACTCGTATGCTCCGGTACTGGCCATTTTTTCTCAGAATCCCGTAAGTCCGTAATTTTGTATGGAAGCTGACAATGACAGGGCAATGGGCCTCGCCATGCGAGAGTTCTTTTTTTTAGTAGGCGCACTAATTTATGAACTACTTTTCACTTTTTTTGAAGCAATATTAACAACTAAACGAAATGCCGGTCGGCTTTTTCCTGTTATTCCTTTCGCCGGATTTCTGTGAGAGCAGAGTCGCGGAACTGCCATTACATGGACAGGATTCGTCAGATAGCGATGCTGATCTCGCTGATTTAGGGCCTCGTTCAGCAGAGAAATGTCCCGTCTGAAATCCCAGTCAGAGTATCGGGGGGCTGTTGTGCTCTGGTTCTATTTTTTCGAGAACAGCCGCACGCGCTTTGTTCCGGATGCAACGCATACCGCGCAGAATGGCGTGCTTTGTCAATCCCTCATAATGGCCCATACTAATCCTGGACGATTCATGAATTGTCCGTGCCCTGTCGGTGATCCTATTGATTTGCATTTTCGCTGTAAATTACCCCTTCTGACGTATTCAGTAATAGAACACCGAATTCAGGACCCCGTCCGGTTTGGGAAGGCGCAGTACGTGCAAACTGCGCTGTTTCTTTGTCATGTTTCTGTTGTCTCGTTGCCTGAGACATCTGCAGACCTTGTTGAATGTGAACGAAGCTCCTACAGCACCTTGCATAGCTTTACAGCAATTTATAGGCGACCATAGGAAGCCTCGGCAGTGATTGATGCGGTCCAGGAAAATGCCCCCACCAAGTCAAATTGCACTGCACCTGATTTTAGATCCACCTACCATAAAACCACCTTCGCTTTCACCTTGTGTAACCCCCACTGCGCATAGTCGAACGGGTGTTTTATAACCCAACCTCTACTAAAACCTAGTAACGTAGCTAGCAGGCGACAGTGTATCACTCCGGTGTTTATAGCTCTTACTTTCACAGATATTCGTGGAACTGATGGTTCGACGTCATAACCCTGGCGTTGAATCACTGCTCAAAGCCAGCTGGGCCTGGTAGCGTTCCCATAGCTGGATTAATGTTGTCTATATGGCGCGCTTCCTCTTGTATAAGCTTTTTTTATTGTGTCAAATATGAAATGATTTAAACTGCTGGACCTGAACAAGCTTTCTCTAGCCACTCCGCAAAAATCATTTCCAAGGCACTCAACGATTCTCTTCCATAAGTACCGTCCGCGCCGAAGATCTCGTAGTAAGCGGGGGTTAAAACAAATATGTGCGTTGTCACAAGAATGTTGAGCTATGGGCAAAAGTCACACCCCGAGCGAGACTCGAACCCCCACCTCACGCTTACCGGTAGATTGTGCTATCCATTACTCTACGAGACCCGCTTCAACCATCTCACTAGGGAAGGTCGTCAGGTCGAAGTGGCCATTTGTAATGAGATGTAGCTCACTAGACGTGGTTTTGGACGCTGATCTCGAATCTGCCTTCGAAATTTGCAGAACGATTCTCGAGTTATGGAGCTTTTTCCACCGCGTTTACCACGCAACAGGTCGTGGGATCGGATCCCTGCTGAGCTTAACTTTTTTGCTTCTTGCGCAAACGTGGCAAAAAGTGGTTGTGGCGTCACTACTACATTAGCGCTCTCCTTGACTTGCCTGAAAAACATGCGTTCCTTACTGGCGCGCTTAGTATGATTTAGGAGAATTTTAGGATGTACAGGTGCCCTTGGCGCGCAGTGCAGGCGTTTTCGCGCTGAGCGAGTGCCATATTCGTATTTATGGGGGCGAACTACGCCTAGGTAGAGGTTTCTAGCCAAATCTGGCATTTTGACCTGACTTCGAAAAGTGAAGCATCCATGGGTTAGTTCAGTTGATGTTCACACCTATTCAGCTGCAGATACATTCTCCTGCACAAAGCCTCGTCTTGCCACTTCTTACGCATTCATGTTGTTACTGCTCCAGTTTTCCTGGTATCTAAAAGCAAATTCCGTCCAAAGACAAGCAATCGACAAGAGACTGGCCCTGGAACTATTGGTGACCATCATTCGATCAACTGCTACCGCACTTTTCAAAGTTAGGTCAAACCTCACATCTGGCTAGAAACCTGTCCCCAAGGGTAGTTTTGCTCCCTGAACACGAATATGGCACCCATTTGGCGTTTGAGTGTTTTCTAGACTTAAAAGAGACATTCCCCACAAGAACTTCGAATCCCTTCATGGCATGCCCGCGAAGGAAGACCATTACCACTACACCATGCCGCCGTTTATAGCGAGGGTGCTTCCCGGCTATTCATGCGAATTGGCTGGCAACCGCGCTCGACTCCGTTTTCCTTCGTTTTAATTCTGAACAAACCTTCATAACTCCGTTCAGAGAATCGTTCTGCAAATTTCATAAGGCAGATTCGAGATCAGCCTTCAAAACCACGTCTACGTGGTGAGCTACACCTCATTATAAATGGCCACTTCGACCTGACGACCTTTTCTAGTCAGCCTAGTGGCTTCTGTGCCATATCCTTACTGCACTACACATTCTTACGAATAATCCGAATGTGTGTGCTAGCTCTCACCTCCATTTGAAAAAAAAGCAGGAATCTTCGAAAATGCCCTGAGCAGTGCCCTCCCAGTTTCAAGCGAGAAGCGAAGATTGCTTGGAATTTTGAGCGAGAGGTCAGACTAACAGAGAGAGGGTAAACGAGCTAAGCGTCGGACTCCCACCCGAGGCGGAGTCATTTGCGCTGTGTAGCTCTCATCGGAGCAACCTTGCATAAAGCCTACACCTTTAAACTTTGACTGTGCTCCAAGGTTGGCAGCTGACGGTTGTCTGTAGGTTGTACCTCTTGTCACCTGAGGCTCAGATTCCTATAAGTGATTGCACAATGTGTCTTGATATCGTTGAGTTTTGTGGAGCCGTTGCCATATTGCGGTTTTGAGCTTTGCTTTTGCTGCTTTTTCATTTTCTCCGAAATTTTGGAATACTCTCCATTTTGAGTATTAAAATTGAGCCTTTTGAGGAATGAAATTGATGGAATGCCCTGGAAATTCTCGTCTTTACTGTTTTTCACTGAGTTCAGTTGATTTGAGCTGGAATGGCGTTTGAGTTCTTCCGCGTGGAATTAGCCTATTTTTCGGGCGATAAGCCGTAGTTATTTATACGGCCGCATGAACGCTTGGCCGCTTCCGCGAACGTAAGGGTCATAAACTGACCAGGGCACATCATTAGTTGGGGATTTTGGTGTACTCCAACCCCCTCCCCGCCAATGTGCTTTGCTTTCCCCGCCCCTATCTATTGTACGCGTGTAAATCCTCCTCCTTATTACGCTTAGGCTGAATTAGAGATAGAGCTGTTGATCGAGCCGGGTATATAGCACATGTGAAACAGGAAGAACCGCGAAAAGTTAACAACAAAAAGATTTCCCCAACGCTGCAAGTTACTCTCAGAAGGCAAATGCGACCCCCTCTCCGAGCGACTGAATACGACTCCCACCCTGTTGGGAAATACCCAGTATGACGTGCTCGGGAACTGATAGGTGGTAAATCCATAGTTATCGGTCAATAAATTAAAGATGAAAAGAATGCAAGTTTGTACTCGAGAAATATTTGCAGCGCTTAAAGCAAAAGGACGTTTCATACACACGAACGACCTTTATCCCAAAAAATATCGCATGTTTGATCATTGTGATTTGTACAGAGTTCCAGTAGCAGTAGAGAAAAATGCTACAGAGCTAAAGAAACGTTTTACAACCAGTCGGCAAGAGGCGTTCTTATAGCACAGAACTTTATAACGTTTGTCGGGGTTTTAATGTTGTCGTTCAAGAGTCTGTTCGCTTCATTGATTCGTTGTTTCCTCAGCTCTTAGCAGGAGATCCACCTTGTTTCGAAAAATATTTTGACAAACTGAAGGCCGTGGGCATTGAAAGCTCACCTCTTGTATTGATTTTTTTCTTGAATAAATTTGCGTAAGTAGTGCAGCCTGTCGTGGATGTATTGGTCGCAGTGAATTTGTGTTAAATTTTTTTTCGGGTTTTGTGTTGTTGTTCCCTCCTTTCTTCCCAGTGTGGCCTTGAAACCTCCCCAGAAGGCTCCTGGAAGAAAGTGGTGACATCTCTGCCCTTTTTTTATCTAGTCTTCACTCTTCTTTCTTTTCGAAAGTTTTTTTTTCTGAATTTCATTCGCGAAAGCTGCGAGATTTCTGTTGGTTTCAGACGGAATGTTGGACAAAATGAAGAGGAGAATGAAATTTGGTGGAAAACATAAGCAAGCGGAGGACACAATGTCAGTGGCTAGTGGAGTGAGTGGTGTCAGTATGACCAGCTCTCGCAGTACTCGATTTATCACTAAACTCAATAAATCGATTGGCAGAAAGTGAGTTCAAAAACGATTTTCTTATTTTATGTGGTGCGGTTTTAGGATTAATTCGTTTTGATCTTCAGACTATCGTCACTCCAGGACGGACGGCCAATATTTGGGCACCATGATGCGAACTCGTCATTGGATTCCAATGGTCACCTAGCACCTCCTACAGCGAACGGCAGTGCTGTTGTTTATCGTGAGGGCAAGTGAGTAGCAGGGGTTTGAAAAGAATTATCCGTTTTTTTTTCTTCTATGAGCCTCGAGGCATAACATGCAATTGAAGGGCGTGGGATGTGGCAGGGCGCATAGACCAGACTTACTGCACGGATGTTGAACCGATAGTAGGTTCCAGTGACCTGTCCCTACACCGTGTAGCCCACACAATCGTTCGCCTATCAACCACTCGGAACCCACTGCGCTACGTTCCCTCAATTCGCACTACCCTCGGAGCATCGGATTTTATGTGGACAAGGACATGGTAGACACTTATGTCTATTTTTGGTCATACATTGTCTATTCTCGACCAATACCACCTAAAATCGTCGTCATTAGCGGGCGCGACGTCGCCGCGACGCCCACTGGCGCGGCGAACTTACGATTCTCTTGCCACATACCCAACACCCTCTAGGTTTTACTGACCCCTTACATCGTGCAGCAAGTACTTTAGTGCTAGAGTTACTGAGCCACAGTTGTACAGCTGCTACGTCTTCTCATGTTTTTTTGTCAGTAAACCCTATATTTTTGGGTCTAATTCTACCAGAAATGAATACACCTTGCTTATCTAGAAATATCTGGGGTGCACGTCTAGAACTTCGAGTCCCATGATGACAGCTGAAACCAAGAGATGTCCTTCCGTCCCCGTTCTTTTTCGTATTCGCAAGATTCTTGTTGAGAAATAAAAACGAAGTTCGTTCAGTAAAATTTCTGAGAAGATGGATGTTGAGGAAGATCCGTAATGACACTGAATCATCCTGACCGTAAAAAATGGTCTCGCGAAGGCCCTGCTGTTTGGGTTAGTATCAATGGTTTGCTAGGCAGTCGTATGTAGCAATGGTACTGGTTGTGGGTAACGAAAATGCTGCGGGCAGGAAAAAAACTCCCATTCCAGCGCCGCACGAATTAGAGGTAGAGAGGAGTGGAGAAAAGGGTCAAGCATCCGTTGAATAATCCTCAACGAAAGGTTCTATTTTCGCTTGCCGAGAAGGGGGGGTCGTATTCGGAGTAATCAGTAGTCAACAAAGCTGTGACAAGGTGAGTGCGAGGAAGAAAAAAATCGATAAACGGAGCTGCCATGTTGTAGTATGGACGAGCCAATTTAGTCGAAACACTGATTATACTTTATGCCTACCAGATGAGTTTGAAATTGTAGCATGAGTCTGATAAGACCAAAAGAGCGAATCTCTCAGTTTCCAATAGTTTTTATCTGTTGTTCAATAGTTATGTGTGACCGAATTTCTGTCCTTCCAAACGGCAACAATTGCAGGCGAACGATAGTTTCCTGCAAGGAAAATGTGTCGGGGAAAAATCCTCAAGGCGGATTTTTCTGACTAACATACTTTCGTGAATGATTTCGTCATAATTGGACAGGGGAAATCTCCTTCTTTTCAGCGCTGATTATGTTTTCCCTTCGATCCTGTATTACGTATGCCGCTTTGCATATTGTTTCTTAAGATAGTTACAACCTACGGTAACAGTGATAGAGCGCCCTCCAATACCGTCAGCCGAAAGAATAGCAGCTGCACTACGTACCTTCAGAGAATGAATTGTTTTTTAATTCTCTTTTTATTCAGTCAAAAGAGAGGGCAGGGGGCGTAGTGACACCCAATTTTAGGGGTGTGTATAAACGGGCCCATTTTTCCCAACAGGTGCTTAACCGTGAGGGGGAGCTCTTGTTATCGCGTGGCTGGAAGTACTTCCTTGCCTTGGCCCTTTTATACCCTTTGACATTCAGCTGAATCATTTCTTGTTGCTTATTTGTTGCGTATAGTTTTAGGCAGAACAATGCTAGCTCACGTCCGTCGTCTGGTCTCAGTGGTATAGACTTCAGCGAAGATTCGTCTTACCCAACCGCGAATAGGCTATCAACTCCGATCTCTAGTATGGGACAGGTTGCTCAAACTGTTGGCGGCTCGCCGACGGTAAGCACAGTTCAAAGATTTCAAGCATGCATTTTTTTCCTATCCCATTCGAAGTATATTGAGTGCAGTAACTTTCCTTACTTAGTGATTTCCTCTTTATTTGCTTTGGCTAGCAATAGTGTTGCTTGTGATTCCTTGCTTGCCTTTGTTGTTTCGTTGGCATTATCGTTGTGATCGCTTGCAGGCGTCGACAGCTGAATCATTTCATCGTGCAAACAGCATTAGAAGTGTAGCGTCTTCTGGTTTCGGAGGATCGAACAAACCCGCGGTATGTGCGATCTTGGAAAACGAGTAGATTGAAATTTGGTGCAGCTCGGCCTAAGGGGAAAGGGAGGGATGAGACGATTGAGTTTCCTGCACGTGACATGTACTTGGTCCGCAAACTGTTTCAATCTGGGTGCAGGACATGTTGTGAATAACACAGCGGATCAAATTTTAGCCGCTGGGGAGAAAGTTGTAGGTGCTCCTGGAATTTTTTTTATTCATGGTTTTTTTCCGTGACAGGCGCTCATCATTTGCAGAATCCTAATAGAGGCCCAATTTTGGTTGATGGGGGAGGGGCGTCGTGGAAGTGTTCCCGTTCTGCGACGTTTGTGGGATGTGCCCTGTAAAGGCTGCGTTCATACTTTGCGGCAGCGTCCACCAGCGACGTTACTGTTTCGAGCGTCCGGTAGCGTCAGCGACTAGGAAAGTGTAGATATCAATCTAGCGTCCGCCAGCTGCTGGGAGTAGAGAGTGTGGGAAGTAAGAGGGTAGCAAACGGCTGGATTAGGCATCGTGAAATTGCGCCGTGGGCGGCCGTACCGGACAGACGCTGAATCGATTTCTATACTTTTCTAGTCGCTGACGCTGCAGGACGCTAGGAACACTAGTGGTGCTAGGTGGACGCTAGTAGACGCTGGTGGACGCTGCCGGACGCTGCCGCAAAGTGTGAACGCAGCCTCACATTTCCAGTGCGCTGTATCCATCCTCACCCCCCCCCCCACGGTAAAGTCTCGGTGGAAAATGATGAACGGCATGCTCCCCACGCTCAGTTGTATGGAAGCGAAAGTGGACCTCTTTCCGTGATTATATGTCTTGAAGGGGAGGTCATGCAGGAGAAGGATTTTGAGAATTCGAGGGAGTCGTATTCATCCAAAAATTTACACAACATAACGCTGTGCCCTAATTTTTAATGATGCGAAAAGGTACGAGCTTAATTTCCATGCCGTTCCCTCTTTGTTTTTCCTCATTATACTCCATGTAGTACTACAATATGTGGAGATTGTGATTGTGATTGTGAGCCGGGGAAGGGGAACCATTTTGGGCGAAAAGTGTTTTGAAAATATGCTTGCATTTTTTCATAGTTTTAGAGGGATTTGCAAAATTCCTTCTCACCCCACTCCCTCTCCCATCCCTGACTAGGGAAGGTCGTCAGGTCGAAGTGGCCATTTGTGATGAGATGTAGATCACTAGACGTGGTTTTGGACGCTGATCTTGAATCTGCCTTCAAAATTTGCAAAGCGATTCTCTGAACGGAGTTATGGAGCCGCGTTTACCACGCAACAGGTCATGGGATCGGATCCCTGCTGAGCTTAACTTTTTTGCTTGTTGCGCAAACGTGGCAAAAAGTGATTTTGCCGTCACTACTTCAGTTCTCACCTGAGCTTGTCTGAAGAAAAGTTTGCCTCCGTTTATTAGTGCGCTTGGACTCTTGTAGAAGCACTGTAGTGCACTGAAGTCTACAAGGAG